TGTTGTGATAAGTCTTTAATGACATGATCAGATCCTATTTATCGCATTCATGGCACAGAATGAACTTGCTTTGGGCATGAATCAGGGCTGTGTAGTAATGGAGACGGTTGTAGAAGTTGGAAGCTCTGTGCTATTTCTAGGACTGGGACAGGCGCCTCTAGGCCTGCACTAGACTAAAGCGTCCCCCCCAACCCCTCCCTCAAGTAAGGGGGAGGAACCACTAAGCCCAGGCCACAGTTGAGTGTGTGAGACAATGAAGGAGAAAAAAGGAATGGGAAAGAGGTCAAAGGTTAAAAATGAGGGACCCAGAAAGGGGCACTGAGCAGAAAACCTGGACAGCTCCCCTGCTCCTAAAAGTCAGTGGACACTGCTCAGAGGAACTCTGACTGGAAGCATGATTGGATAAGGGATGAGAAATAGGCTCCACAGCCAGAGAGTACCCCCCACCTCCAGCTTCCTCCTCCTGGAGTGATGGATGGCCATCTTGGCTGGTGGCAGGAGGAGGTCCCGTCACTTTGTGGGGCTAGTGATAGGATGTGCATAGATCAGGAGGCAGCGGGAAAATGCAGCCAGAACCTCTTACTGAGGTTCTGGAGGAACTGGAAGAGCCATTGCAACCTGGTGCACATCTATGTAGGGTGAAACAGGGCTTTCCTCTCATTGCAGAAGGAACAAGTGTTGGTGGAGTTTGTGAACCACACCAGATACACACCTGTGCTCATGGCTCCATGGAGGAGCTTCCAACTAATATCCCCAGCGGGTTGTGTAACAAGAGTAGAGTACAGACAGTCCCACTGGGGTTCCTCAGGCTCCACAGGTGGCAACCGGTCCCGCCACATGGTGTCAGAGTGGGACATGAGGCCATGGAAGTGTATGTGATGTTCTCTGATCCTGGTTCAGAGGTGGACTGGCTGGATGTCATGCAGTTGGCCCAGGTGGCATGTCGGGGTAGCCAGGGAGGCTTGTGGGGTAGGGGCCTGATGATGGGGGCCAGGGTGAGGGATGGACAGGGGGCACCCTCCTGCAGGACCTGCTCAAGAAAAATGAGAGAAGCAGGAGGCAAGGCTGCCTTCATCTCCTGGAGCACATGACAGGGAACACACAGAGTGGGCAGCCCCATGAGCTAGCTGAGCATTGCAGGATCCACCCAATCACTCCAATTGCAGTCCAGGAGGTCTCTGGTTCTTGTGGCACCAGCCAGGACCATCCTCCAGTGCACCAAGAGGAACTCTACCACCTGCGCACAACGGTGTGAGTTATGTATGAGGGTTCTGTGAGGAGGGCCTCCCCAGTGGGGGCCACTACAGACCTGTTTACTGAAACTAGCTTCCGGGTTCTGAATAGGTCCTGGTAAAAGACCAGCAGCACAGAGGGGTCTCGTGAGAAACCTCTTTGATGGAGAAAAGAGCTGCTTGTTGTATGAGTCCTAACAGAGGAAGGCATTTGCCAGTATGCTCCGTAGCAGACTACCTACAATGTAAAGGAGTCTCTACAGGGCCTGGAGGCGGAAGGCAGGGACCTGGCTCTAGATGCATACTAGATCTGTCCCCTCTCCCCCAGGGGGAGACTCAGGAGGCTGGTCAAGGTCCCTGTGGGAGGGCTCAGGAGGTTGAACTGGTGCCAGAACACAGACCAGATTAGCTGGTTGATAATCAGCACCCTTCCCCAAGGGGAAAGGGGTCAGAGCAGCCCCATCCACCTCCGCAACTGGCAGAGGGGTGTGACAGATGGTGATGGGGCGGCAGGCAGGATTGCAGCCACCTGGGCTTATGCTCTGGAGGCCGAGGAGCGAGCATCCTTGGCGCTGGTGGAAGGGAGGGCAGGGGGAGCCAGGGCCGACGGTTGGGCCATGCCAGTGACTGCTGCCGCCATGGAAGGAGCCTTCTGCCTGGGGATCTTGCCCTTTTTCCTATCCTGGGCCCTTTTTGCCAACCAAAGGGGTTTCCGTGGTGGCGGTAGGAGTTTTGGCAGTGAAATCCCTGCCTATGCCTGCTGCTGCACCAGTGGGGGCACTGTTGGTGCCAGAAGTGGGGGGCGGGGGAGGCGGGGCGGGAGAAAACTGAGGTAGGGCAACAAAGGTTCCTCTCCCTCGGTCTGCCACCTTCCATCCACGGATGAAGCCGCCAGAGCAGAAGCCTTGTGTGTGGCCAAGTTGGGCTCTGCCATCCAGGGCAGGTGGTGGGACAGATACCAGAGGGGAGGCTAGAAATGATAAAGGGGAAAGTAGGGGCAGGAAAGATGGAGGTTGACTCCTCCCACCCATTAGCCTACATGTGTGGGGGACAGGGTGTAATCAGAAAGTGAGGGGTGGGAGGGGGTGAATTAAACAAAGAAGGTTGGGGTCGTAGCAGGCAGTTTTGGGATGACCAGCTGCTCTGGGAGTGAGGGGCAGAGGTAGGTGTGAGAGGGTGCAGTGGAGTGGGGGGAATCACAAGTGCTGGGAATGTGCAGGTGCCTGGGGTGAATGGGGCAGTGGAGGCAGGGAACAAACAGTAATGGGCAGTGGCCTAGACAGGAAACAAACAGGGAAGGGGGAGACCTGGGCTGGGCAAGGAAGGAGAGTACCAAACAGTGTGTGTGTGTGGTGGGGGGGGGCCGGGGGTAGGGCAGGGTGGTGAAGCTATCAAACAGCAAAGTGAGCCCAATGCAAACTGAGTGGTGGGGAAGAGTCCGAGGGAGCACGTGCTCTCATGTGTGCTTGTGGTAAGGTGTCTCTGCAGCAGTAATCCAAGGACTGGTGGGTGGAGACAGTCCAGCTAGCAGATGGTCAGTAGCAGGAATGGATGGGAGGGGGGGCAGGAGTGCTCCACATGGCTGCCCCTATTCCCACCCTCAGCCCCACCCCCAGCAAGATCAATAGCAAGCCCCACCCTCAGAGTGTCAGTGTGTAGGAAGGAATGGTGCAGGGGATTGCAGGAAGGGAAAGGGAGTTTCATAGGTAGGGCCCTACTGAATTCACGACCGTGAAAAACCCATCATAGACTGTGAAATCTGGTCTCCACTGTGAAATCTGGTCTTTTGTGTACTTTTACCCTATACTGTAAAAGTTCCTATACTATAGGGTAAAAGTATACAAAAGTACACAGTGTTTCTCAAACTGGGGGTCCTGACCCAAAAGGGGGTTGCAAGGCTATTGTAGGGGGTTTACAGTATTGCCACCCTTACTTATGTCTTGTTGCTGGCAGCAGCGCTGCCTTCAGAGTCGGGCACCCTGCCAGCAGCCACCCAGCTCTGAAGGCAGTGCAGAAGTAAGGGTGGCAATACCATGACCCCCCTTTCAGGCTGGGACCCCCAGTTTGAGAAACGTTGAGTCTTAAGGGCTTTACATGTTTATATTTTGCCATTTTTAAATACATATTCATGTTTTGTTACAAAGCTGTGAAATTTAATATTTAAATATCTGAAACCATGAAATTCAAGATTTTAAAAATTCTATGTCTATGAAATTTACAAAAATGGACTGTGAATTTGGTAGGGCCCTATTCAGAGGTAAGGCAGTTGAATGCTGCTCTGGGGAATTGGATTCTATCCCTGCCTCCATCACAGAGGCCCTGTGAGATTCTGGGCAAGTCACTTAAACCAAACTTTTCACAGATGGCCACTAATCATATTCCTCATTTTCTTGAGACACCTGGGATCTGATTTGCTGAATGTCTGAGTGCTCACAGCTGCAAATGAAGTCAATGTGAAGTGCTATCTAATGTGAAGTACAGCTGGTTAACATTTTTCCAATGAAAGTTTTCTATTGGAAAATGACGATTTGAGGGAATTGAAATATTTCATGGGAATGTGTCAATTCTGTCAGAACGTTCAATGAAAACCAGGCAGGCTCCCCAGGCTCAATGTCTTGTGACTCAGACTGGCTGCCTAGTCTCTGACAAACACCTGAACTCGGCAAAGGTTGTGGTGTTTGGATCCACAGCTTTCACACTTTCATGTCATACCCGCTCCCAGTATATCTGACCACAACCATTCAATTGTACGCAACCCTAGCTATTTTTAAATCTGTGATGCTCTTTGCTGTCGTATCTGAGCACTTCTGATCATCCACAGACTGATCAAACGTTGTGACTTGAGGTCATCGCTTGGGTATCAGATATTATAAATTTCTTTTGAAAAGGTTTTCCCCTCCCTCTTTTCAATAAACGACCTACATGTTTCTTACTACTCATTTATTGAGAAAGTGTGTCAGGAAGGAAGTACCCACCCACTCTCAGGCTATCATGCACCATCTCTTAAAGGTGTCATTATCACAAGTTAGATTGCAAGTGGTTTTGTAAAAAAACAAAAAAGAAAAATGTGCAGTATCTTAGTACACGTTGTAGCACATATGTACAATAACGCTTTTGATTTTTTTCAAAGTGCTGTAAAATACATTTACTGATTAACCTTCTCAAAACCCTTCAAAGGTACCAAAAATTTATTATCCTCATTTTACTGCTGGGGAAATGGAGACCGAGAGGTTAGGTGATTTGCCTGATAATATCAATGCACTTGGATTAGAACCCTCGCTCCCAGTTGCATACTCTAAACACTAGGCAACAGTTCCTTTTGTTATAACTATTCCCTGAGATCATAAAGTAACAACTGGATTTGATATCAAAAGGGCCTCAACCTGTGGCTGGATTCTGCTCTTGGTTATGCTGGTGTAAAATTAGAATAATACCTTTGAAGTTTGTGGAATTATTCCATATTTCCTGCAATGTAAATGAGAGCAACACTTGGCTCTTGGTCTCTAAATGTTTATGGATCTATAGTTCACGTGCACAAGTGTACATGCAAAATTCTAAATTTGCACTTACCAATCAGATAGTTAGATGTCTAATCAGTGAGAACCTAGTTCATATGCCGCTTCCAAGTCGATGGCCTGTGGAGTGTAATACTGCAGGAAGCAGGCTAGGAATGAGCGTAAGAGCTGAGGGGAACAGATGGACTTCCGCAGAGGACACTGGGTCAGGGAAAAGACACAACTGATATGTTGAGCATGTGTTAAACAGCTTTATTTTTGAAGAAATAAAACCAAAGCCTAGGAGAAAAAGGACCAAAATCCTGTGAATGGAAAGTATTCTTCGATCCCCGGGACAGTGCATTAGCCCACGGGGTTATACTGCTGCATAATTTCCTTTTTGTACAATTTATATGGACAGCCAGCAAGCCTGATGGAATAGTGTGGGGGGAGGGGGCAGAAAACAAGTGAGGAGATAAAATAAAATATATGGAGAAGTGGTAGGAGCAGGAGGCACTCAGCCTTTCAGGGCAGAGATGCTGCATAGGAAGAGCTCAGGAACCCTGCATGACAGGTGCCTTCCTCAGCTGCAGAGCTTCTAAGGAGAGAAGTCTCACTTGCAAATCTGTTTCCTTTGAATTTTAACAGCACTTCAGCTGCAGACCACTGCTCAGAACTCCCCTGAGACAAGCTCTGCCTGACAAGAGACCTTCCCCACCCTGACTCTGAGCTGCTCTTGTTGCTGCTGCATAACGCCAAGGGAGGGGGAATTTAGGATATGTCTACACTGCAATTAAAAATCCACAGCTGGCCTGTTACTCAGGCTATGGGGCTCAGGCTATGGGGCAGTTTAATTGTAGTGGTGATGTTCAGGTTCAGGCTGCAGCCCGCGCTCTGGGACCATCCAACCTCGCAGGTTCCTGGAGTCTGGGCTGCAACCTAAGCCGGAAGTCTATACCACAATTAAATAGCCCCTTAGTCTGAGCCCAGCATACCTGAATCAGCTGGCATAGGCCAGTCACAGGGGTCTAACTGCAGTGTAGACGTACCCTTACAGCCAATCCATGACAGCAGCATGGGTATGGGTTTGGGTTAGGCTGTACAAGACCAGTCTCTGAAACCAGAAAGGTTTGTAGCAGTAGGCTGCTGGTGGTGGGTTCTCGTCTTTGCTGGGTCTTGCCACATAAGTGAGGTATAATACATTGCATAGTAAAATGGGCCTTGTCTATAAATGGCCTGTCAAAGCAGTGTCAGTGAAAAAGGAGCATAAGCTTTATGCTTTAAGACTGAATATGCCAGTCAAGTAAATACTGATAAAGAGGAAATAAAATTTGCATGACCAGATTAAACCTTGTCTTCATGTCTTTTGGCTTTTCCCCTATTACAGATGCTAATCACCAGTCTTTGCTTACTTCTAAGTCAAGGGATGTGCATCATTTTAGGTTCAGCTATTCCTCTGCCCCTCACAAATGTGGTGTTTATTTTATTGCTGTCAATTATTTACTTTAGAAATGCTGAACTGGGAAACAGGTTTTAGAAAATGTTCCAGAAACACATTCCAAGGGAGTGCAGGTACCTGACACTAACACATTTCTTGTATTCCTAATTTATAGTAATTTACGTCCCATAATGCATTGTTTTGAGCAAGCTAAGAGAGATGCCTTTTTCCATGCACATTGAGCCTTCCTGAGTGCCTGGTATGTTTCCAGAATAAGTTGTGGCAATATATTGCCTGGTGTACTTTTCTGTATCTCTTGACATTCTATGTTCTAAAATAGAACAACTTCTAAACTGTCTGGATGATGATTCGGTGCAATGACTAATATAATCTGTTCCAGATCAAATACATTTTTTAATTATGTGGTGCGTGTTCTCTTGATGTTATTGGCACATCTTGTTCTGAAAAGATGGTGACAGTTTCACTGAATATATCAGGCATGCATCTGCAGAGCTTCTTCTGTATCTTTCGTCGAAACTCTTTGGAACCAAAAAAATAAACAAGTGGATCGAAGCAGCAATTAAGGCTATTCAAAGCCAGAGACAGTTTATATTCCACATAAGCAGTCTTATATTGGGTACTAAAGATGAAATGGATGATTGATATCACAATATTGGGCACGTAACACACTACAAAGACTGTAAGCAACACTATTAGCAAAAAAATTGTCTGCTTCTTAATTTCCCTTAGTTGTGTGGGAGGGGAATTAAGAAGAGTTCGAATGACTAAGGTGTAGCAGAATGCCATTATTAGCAAAGGTAGGAGAAAGCACACAAGAACTTGAGAGCCAAAATAAGCGATGAAATGATTTCTTGAAGGAAACATAGCTTTGGGCAATATATCAAAACAAGTGGTTATCTGCAGCTCCTCTACCTGGAAGGTTAGCTCTGTCTTCATGAGTGGGAAGTGCAGCAGTAAAACAAATATCCAAATGATGATGCATGTCAGGAGAGCTGTTCTAATGGGTCTCATGGCCCTGTGCTTCAGCGGGTGAACAATTCCCAGGTAGCGCTCTATGCTGATGCTTGTCATGGTTAAAATGGAACAGTGCATGTTTGCATAGAATAGCACAGTTATGATGCGGCACAGAACCGGTCCAAAGGGCCAGTCATTTCCCCGTAAATGGTAGACAACTTGAAAAGGGAGAAGTATGCTGTACAGCAAGTCCGTGATTGTCAGGTTAATGGAAAACATGATGGTGGGAGTCCAAGGCCTTGAGTGGCGGCAAAGGAACCACAAGGAGATAGAATTGAGGGGAATGCTGATGGTGAAGATGAACAAGTAGAGGGCAGGCAAAGTGGTCTGCAGCATTTGGTTCTTAAGCATCTCTATGGTGCTGTTTGGCAGTGTTCCCATGATAGTGAGATAGATTCAGTGATTTCTTCTGGATTGGGACAAATGGAAAAGCTTCAGGCACCTTTTCCCACAAAAGAAGAATCTCGAGATGGTAGAGATTAGACCTGGTTAAAAAATGTATTTTTGGTGAATTTTTTTTAAAGAGCAAGTTAATCTAACACATGATAAAACTCTTAGTTTGTTCATTCCCACCACATTAAATCATATTCACTCTGCCCTTTGGACCAAAGAATAGTTTTTAGCTATTTTCTAAAGTGCTTAACGAGTTTTGTTTCTAGTGCAATAGCAAGATGCAAGATCCAGCCACCTGAGCATACATCACCAAGAATTGCTGCTATATCTTAAATAGGCTTAAAGCTTTTTCCTCCATTTTTACCATGTTTTACCATGCCCATTCTTGATCCATTTATTATCTTCTCCACCTCCTCCTCCATTCCACCTTCCCCCCCACTCTCCTTTATGCAGGCCCTTTCAATTGGCTTTAATAGTTAACATTTTTAGAGGGAGGTGTGACACTGGCAGACAAGGTGCTAGCTCACGCCAAGGCCCAGGGCCTCACTGAACGCAGACAGATGAAAGCTGGAAACCAGTCTGGCTCCCCTGTGGGTTAGTTAAAATAGATATTAGTATTATCAGAATGTGTTTAGTGTTTAGAGTCATGGAATGCTTCTAGGATGCTGCATGTATTAATCCTACTTATAATATCTGTGTCCCATGGTATAAAGTAATATTGAGTGTTTGCATTGTAAACCTCTGTCACCAAACAGAAAAGAAGCATTAATTAAGATAAAGTTTCAGAATAGCAGCCATGTTAGTCTGTATCCTGAAAAAGAAAAGGAGGACTTGTGGCACCTTAGAGACTAACAAATTTATTGGAGCATAAACTTTCGTGAGCTACAGATGAAGTGAGCTGTAGCTCATGAAAGCTTATGCTCAAATAAATTTGTTAGTCTCTAAGGTGCCACAAGTCCTCCTTTTCTTTTTAAGGTAAAGTGTTTGTCCTATGGGCCACTGAAGGAAAAGGAGGCATTGTGCAGTGGCAAAGGACAGAGATTTCATTCATTACTCCCTCCAGGAAGGGGAGATCCGTACATGAACTCATCACATCAACTTGGATTCTGGGGTGAAGGGAATAAAAATCCCGGACAAGGAGGAACTGGGTCTCTGTATGCTGTCTGGACTCTGAGGGGCAAAGATTCCTAAACATAAGCAAGAGATCCCCATGCTGCTTGGCATGTCCTAAAGGACATACACAGCTGCTTTTAATAGAAGCTTGTATTACCTTTTTAAATCTAAGTCTGTAACTCATTTGTGTGTATGCTTACTTGTTGTAATCTTGTAAATAACTCTCATTTATTTTCTTAGTAACTCTTAGTTAGTTTATTACAGGATTGGCTACAGGTGTTGTCTTTGGTTTGAGATCGGAGTACAATTGTCAGGTAAGTGACTGGTCCTTTGGCATGAGGAGTAACCTGAATATTGTTAGAGACTAACAAATTTATTTGAGCATAAGCTTTCGTGGGCTACAGCCCACTTCATCGGATGCATAGAATGGAACATATAGTCAGAAGATATTTATATATACCAAGATATCCTCACACTTACGTGTCAACTGTCTGAAACAGGCCATCTTGATTATCACTTCAAAAGTTTTTTTCCCCCTGCTGATAATAGCGCCGCTTAATTAATTAACCTCTTACAGTTGGTATGGGTACTTCCACCTTTTCATGTTCTTTGTATATATAAATATCTTCTTACTGTATTTTCCACTGAATGCATCTGATGAAGTGAGCTGTAGCCCACGAAAGCTTATGCTCAAATAAATTGGTTAGTCTCCAAGGTGCCACAAGTACTCCTGTTCTTTTTGCGGATACAGACTAACATGGCTGCTACTCTGAAACCTAGATATTGTTGTGATGTTTGGTGTAAAGTGACCATCTATCACAAAGTCCAGCTTGCCTGGGTGGCAAGATAGACTGGAATGCCCAAAAGGACTGTCTGTGACTCCATAGTAAGGCTGTTGTTGTGCTTTAGGGGGTCATGCTTGTTACTGGGTTGGTGAAATCTAATGATAGGACATACAACCAGTTTGGGGTGTCTGCCCTGCCTTTTGACAGTCTGCCTTGAGGTCGGCACTCATGGTTCTGAGCCACTCCAGACATCGTGACAGGTGGTTTCTTACCTTACTGTATTTATGTGTATTTTATGTTATTTTTCATATTATGGGGTGTGTGATAGGGGGTGCTTTATACATTTTGGTGGATTAACTTCAACAAACTTGTGCTCAAAGTTAAGTATTTGCTTAAGTGCCATCTTGAACATTGGATACTATTCTGAACTGGGGTCTAAATCTTTGGTGATTCAAACCCAAAGGGTTGAATCCCGAGGGGCTAAGTACTTGTAACTCCCATGTTGATGTCCTCATTCACAGTATGCAATGCAGTAACTAGAGCTGTGTGGATAATGGATATTTTTTGGTTTGCTGGCAATTCTGAAAAATTGAAAAACAATTGTTTTGGGTTGAACCAAAATGATTTTTAAGTATTTTTTTCAGTGAATCAAAAAGAGTTTGTTTAAGGGCAAGCTCATTGTTGTGTTTTGGCAAAGCTGAAATATTTCATGTTGATTTTGACCATTTAAAAACTTTTTCATTGTTTTAAAAATAAAATTAAAGGAAATTTTGAAATGCAGTTCACTTCAAACCAAAAAATCAAAACATTTTGTTTTGAAAATGTCAGAACAAAATGTTTTGAAATTTGTTGGAATTTTTTTGGGGTGGGGGAGATTATTTTTAACCAAAACAATTTGCTGAAACCAACATGAATTCAGGAAATGTTTTGGTGTCACCAGATATGCATTTTTTCACCAAAAGTATTTCACCCGAAAAATTTTGCCCTGTTCTTGTAGAAACATGAATGAGGGCATGATCCTGAGAAGTGGTATGAATCCTCAACTCATATTGAAGTCAAAGGATTTGAAAGTGCTCAGCACCTTACAGGGTCAGGCCCCTCTGTAGCCCCTCTGCCTAGTGGTAACAGATTCTAGAGAAGAGATGGGCAAACATTTTGACACGAGGGCCACATCAGGGTGTGAAACTGTATGGAGGGCCAGGTAGGGAAGGCTGTACCCCCCAAACAGCCTGGCCCCCAACCCCTATTTGCCCCCTCCCACTTCCCACCCCCTGACTGTCCCCCTCAGAACTCCTGACCCATCCAATCCCCCCTGCTCCTTGTCCCTTGCCGGCCCCCACCCCGGGATCCCACCCCCATCCAACCCTCTCTGCTTCCTGTCCCCTGACTGCCCCGACCTATCCATACCCCCACCCCCTGACAGGTCCCCTGGGAGTCCCATGCCCTATCCAAACCCCCTGTTCCCTGACCCCTGACCATCCCAGAACCTCCGCCCCATCCAACCGCCCCCTGGTCCCTGTCCCCTGACTGCCCCCCGGGACTCCCTACCCAACCCCTGCACCACCCCGCACGAGTGCACCACCGTCTCCGCCCCCCTTACCATGCCGCTCAGAGCGGCAGGAGCTCACAGCCCCACTGCCCGCACTGCGGTGTGGCTGTCGGGGAGGGGGAGACAGAAGGAGAGGGGTCATGGGCTAGCCTCTCAGGCCAGGAGCTCAGGGGCCGGACAGGATGGTCCCATGGGCCGGATATGGCCCGTGGGCCATAGTCTGCCCACCTCTGTTCTACAGTCTTGTAGGTCAACTTCCTGTTGGAAAACAAGTCAGGGACATAGAGGCTGAATATATTCTTAGTGCAGCTTATTTATTTAACACTAGCTACACCTGTCTTGGAATAGAGGTGGATAAACAGCATGCAGGTAATCCCCTCTTTTAGGAATCTCAGGACAAAAACCAATTCCTTGTTTCCAGGAAGCAACTGTGCCTCAAGAATTGACCCTGATTAGTGAGATTAAGGGAGAAAGAAAATTTCCCTGCCATTCACCACAGATCTCGCATGAAGAAACTACATCACTAAGTAACACAATAAAAACATTTCTTCCAAGGCTGAACCATGCTCCAATGTTATATAAAATAATTTGTGAGGTTGTGTAACAGCACCATCTGCTGATTTCTGCAATAACAATATTAAACTGGATCTCAGATATCTTTTTAGTAAATATAGAGTTTTGAGAAATTAACATTTTCTAAAGGCTGTTGCAATTGTCACGTGACTCCTATGCAATTATCCTCAAATGTTGTAGGCCAGGCTTCAGCGTTCAAATGACAATATGATTAATGACTAATTCTGCTCCTACTAAAGTCAGTGGAAGCAGGAACAGGTCTTGTATATAGAACTCTTGATATTTTGGAATCTGAGAACAGACTGACTGGAAATTATAGTGCTTAATATATTCTTACTAAAATGCATGAATGAGTGAGCACATGAATGTCAAAGGATTTGGGAAAAGATCCTCCGCTAGTGTATATTATTATAGCTCAGGTGAAGTCATTGAAGCTTTGACAGTTTACATCACATGAGGATTTTCCCCTTGGTTCTTTTTGGGTCCCGTTCTTCTTCCAAATGGCATGGATTGAAGTAGAACAGAACAAAGCACATTGATGGAGGAACAACAAGGCTCAATACTACAAATCTGTTTTGTTGATTGACACCAACCAAATTATGTGCAGTGCATCACATGCAGGGTCTTGGTGCTTAGTGAATACAAGTGACTGAGACAATATTGAATGAAAGTGGGACGGAATGAAAAAATACTGGGAGCCAAATATTATTAATAATAATGAGTAATAAATGGATTTATTCACAGAGCCCCAAGTCAAGAGAGGATTCTGCACTTTTGATTTAGTCTAGGAAGTGCTGCTTCCTAAATTGATGCCACTGAAGTCAGCCTATCAGTGTTTTAGTTAACCGCTCTGTCGTTATCAGGGGTACCTTTGGAATGGTATTTCTAAAAGTGATAACCTCGGCAATCATGATGTTCATATGTTTGTATGTAGGTGGGGAGGCTCCTGAATTTCCTCATATTCTTAAGTATTTTACACCTCGCCTGGAGTATTTTTCTAAGTACACCCACATCAAATGTATTTCATATTTTCCCTTGTTACATTGCTGAAATGTCTCCTGAATTAACCACA